TTGAACTGTACAAGGTTTTTGTTACCCCCGTCCTCTATTATCTCCAGGTCGTTATTTATCTGCGATATTTGAGTTAGTCTAAGATGATGGAATTCACGTGCGGAAAGACCTGTGGGTGGTATGAGTGAGGAGACTACATTGCCATCGTCTGCAAAGCAATAAAGTGGATTTACTGTTTTATCTATGAGGTCATTTATGTAAATCAGGAAAAGAGTTGGCGACAGGATTGCTCCTTGTGGCACACCAGCATTTATTTGGTAAGAGTTGGAGTTCTGGCCATCCAGTGCAACATAAATGGATCTGTCCTTTAGGTAACTTTCAAACCAAAGTTTCGGCGATAATCCCATTGCTTTGAGCTTGTTGAGCAGATTTTCATGCCAAACTTTGTCGAATGCTTTAGATATATCTAAGGCAATTATTCTTGTTTCACCCCGCAACTCAATCGCTTTTTGCCATAAGTGAGTGACGTATGTAAGTAAATCGCCAGTTGACCTATATTTTCGAAATCCGTATTGCTTATCGTTGATAATTTTGTACTTTTCCAAGTACTTGGTTAGGTGATTGTTCACAACTCTTTCCATTACTTTCGATATCACCGGAAGTAGAGCAATTGGTCTATAGTTTAACGGATCTGTCTTTTTTCCTTTCTTTGGAATGGGTTGTACTGCGGCAGACTTCCATGATGATGGATATACTCCTTGCCTGTAAGACAAATTGAATAATTTTGCGAAAGTTGGGGTGAGTTCGTTGGCGCAATTTTTGAGTACTATTGCGGGAATGCCATCCGGACCCATTGCTTTGTTTGTATCCAGATTTTTTAGGGATTTTCGTATTTCTCTGTGACAAAAGGGTACCTCTGGCATACTATGGGAAACCCTTTCAATGAACGGTGGAGTTTTTCTGTTTGGCACTGTTAGGTTGGAGTTGGAGGAAAACATTTGGGCAAGCATATTGGCTTTTTCCTCTGATGTTGTGGCTAAGTGATTATTTTTATCTGTAAGTGGTGGTATGGATGACTTGGTGAAGTTAGATCCAACAGCTTTTGCAAGAGACCAAAAAGACCTAGAACTACTTGGACAATTCAGCAACCTGTTTTTTATTCTTTGATTGTATGTTTCTTTAGCGGAGTCAATAGTAATTTTGCAACTATTTCTGGCTTCTATAAATTCTGTGTGGTTTTGAGCGGTTTGTTGTCGTTTCCAAAGGTTATATGCTCTGTGTTTTTTCTGTACAGCCGTTTGACACTGGCTGTTGAACCAAGGTTTTGCATTAGCTCTACGTTTAGTTGTATGTGGGATATATGCGTCCATTCCAGATAAGATTACTTGTGTTATTTCATTACAGCAAATAGTGGGATCAGCTGTTTTAAAGCAAACCTCTTGCCATGGAAAATCCAGGTAATACTGTTTTAGGTCATTCCATTTTGCCGATTTATAGTGCCACATTTTACGAGGAAGTGGTTGTAGGCTTGGTGGGATGAGCATTTCGCACTTTGTTATTATAAGTTTATGATCGGACGAACCAAGTGGTGCATCTACTTGAAATGTGTACGAGTCAGGATTGGTGGTTAGGAACAAGTCTAAAAGCGCTGCAAATTCGCCCGTTTCTGAGATACGGGTAGGTTCATCGACAAGCTGCGTTAGACCACAACTTATGGCAAAAGCTTCTGCTTCTCTGCCTTCGTTATCTGTTTTGTTGTGGTGTTTCAGCCAGGGTATATTGTGGACGTTGAAATCGCCTAAAAAGACAATTTCCGCCTGTGGATAGTTTGACTGTATACTATCACAGCTTTCGGATAATGTCGCGGAAAAGTTTTGGTAATCGGTGTTACTTGGCGGTCGGTAGAGGCAGCAGATAAACTTGGTCGATGACTTTGAGGTGAATTTTAGCCATATGATATCAAGGTTCGCTAGTTCTAGCTTCTCCTCTCGATGACATGAAAGGTCATTTTTAATGTACACACAGATCCCAAAATTATGTCGAAATCGGTGGTGTAGGTCATAGCCGGGATAAAGATAATTCACAATAGGTGTTGCAGAACTGATTTTAGTTTCAGTGAGAACAAGGATGTCAGGTCTTTGTTCTTCAAGATGTTGGTGAACTGAATTCATATTTGTACTTATTCCTCTTATATTGCTAAAATCAATTCTGAGTTGAGTTTTTGATCTTCTCTTTATATCTTTGCATGAAGGACCCCCAGGATCACCCGACGCCCGGAGATCCGAGTGGTCGGGTATTTTACCTCCGGAATATTTTGATCCTGGAGGCGCCATCATGCTATCTGTTACTCATTGTTGGAACCGGACTGCCAGCGCAGTAGCGGAATGTGGTGATACCACTTAGCGCTACTCAATTCTGGCATGGTGGTATCTCACCGGTCGACGCCCAATGAGTAAAAAGCGTCTACCACCTACTACACATACATACATACGCTCCTCTTCACATTTCAAATTTTTTCTTGCAATGATGATACCTTAAAAATATTGAAATTTGGTTGAAATTTACGGGGGCCTATTTTCAATGTAAATTTTGCCTCCTTTGGCTTGTTTTTCTCGTGAAATAGTCTAGTCGAATACCACTCAAGAAAAAATTATGTAGGCAAAATTATTCTCTTGGTTTTATTCAAGTTTGTTACAAAATCCCTCCCAAAACCCCGAAAGAAATTAAATCCTTTTTTGGCCTCGAAGGTTATTATAGAAAATTTATTTTAAAAAAAAATGCCAACATTACAAAGCCTTTAACCAACTTTTCGAGGAATAATGGTAAAGTAATTCATGACAAAGCATTCATCACAGCTTTTGACCTTTGTAAAGATCTTTTGACCAATAAACCAATACTTCAATTTCCCGATTATGATAAACCTTTTGTATTAATAACTGTTGCTTCAGAGTACTCTAATAGGACAGTACGTACTTTCGCAAGCACCAATTGGATGGGATTTATCTATTTATTATAGCAACAACAGAAATAGAAAAATCCCCACCAACACACATTCCGTCCGCACAATGTAAAAAATATGAGAACTCAGGAGACCAATATTTTTTATGGCATGAGACAATCAAATTTTTTGAATCACAAGAAAATCTATTTGGAAGAGCAAGAAAAGTGTGTGGAAACAAAAAAGCAGAAGAAAGAAAGGAAAGTCCCAAAATAAATATTATAACTAATGTACCCATTAAACTTAAACCAATTTAAAAATCAATTGACCAAAAACAACCACCAGTCGAAAAAAAGAAGTCACCTCAACCATCAACAAGTGAACAAAGAACACCTGATGAAAGAATACTACTTAAAGAAATAACGCCTTATGAAACAGTACACTCTCCCGAGACGGATACAGCACATACTTCAGAAACGTAAACAGTAGATACTTCTGGAGAAAAGCCAATATTAGGAGCACCCTACGTTATTAAAGCAGTGAATACATTTGAAAATCAAGCTATATTTATAATGGACAGCCAAAGAAAAACCTTATGTAAATACAACATAGTTTTTCGAAAAAAAGGAGAGAATCTTGATTTTTATAAATAAAAACCCGATAACAGGAGCAATTGAAATACTTTTAAGAGATTATTTACCACCAAATACCTATTGTCTACATTTTCCAAACAGAGAACTAGAACCTGTGATATTAGGAAACATTCAAAAACAATGCATACAAACTTGTCATCTCTAACACTTTACTAGAAGATGTAACACACCAAGAAATATTAGATAGACACTATACAACAAAAACCTCACATCGAGGAATGACCGAAAATATCAAAAATATTAAGCAAAGATATTATTGGCCGAGTCTAGAAGGAGACGTAATTAATTTTGTAAATACATATGGAATATGTCAAAAATCAAAATACGAGGGACGTCCTTACAAAGTCATTTATAAACCAACACCAACGGGATCCAAACCCCTTGACCATATTTATATGGATATATACTCATTGTCAGGTCAGAAATATTTAACGATAATAGACAATTTTTCTAAATTCGCCGCAGCATACCCGGTGAATGAAACATCCATAGAGGTTTGTGAAAGTTTAATAAAATTCTTTGAGCATCATGGTACACCAAGTAAAATTACCACTCATAATGCACAAACTTTGAAAAGTAATCTAATACAAGACCTTTGTAAAACCTATGAGCTAGAATTACATTTTACTAAGCCGTGCAATACAAATTCAAACTCGCCAATCAAAAGATTCCATTCGACAATAAGGCCCATTGTCACAATGTGCAGTTAACCTTAAGGTAAAGGTAACTTATACCCTAAGGTTACCATAAGAGTATCGTTTCACCAAACTTATGTGACATCCCGTTAAGTTCACCGGAGTTCAATTTTTTTTATATCGTTGGTAACGCGAATGTTGCGTTCAGTGGTCGTTTGTAGCAGTAGCCAGCGAAAAAAAAAAAAAAAAGATTTGCATATACCTATAGGAGGTACCTAATAATAATGTCAACTTGTCATTATTTTTCCATTTTGATTTAAAAAAAGAAAATCTTCAAGCTAGAAAAGTAAGTACCTACTAGTATTATTATTATTTATTTAATAAATATCAAATTCAGTCATTTGTATTGTTTCAAACATTGGACAGAATAATAAAACTGAGAGAAGGACTATCGAAAATCGAAATATGTTGTAGATATCGTCCCCTTCCTTGCAAAAGGGCCTATTTCTGTTTTTGTGATTTTTCAGAAGAAAAAGAAGAAGTTTTTACAAATATTTTGTGAGATCAATCTCGTGCCAAATCTGAGATAGGCCTTCGAGATTACCTATATTTGAGGATTTGACATACGCCTTTTAGAGGGTGGCTGCAGGGATCTCTTTTGATGATGTCTCCCAAGGGCCTAACTCAATTTAGCAATTTTTTGAGATAAGCCCCTTTGTAATGAAGGCGACGATATGGATATCAAAAGGGCCACCAACTTCACCAATAAAGAGGAGAAGCTTCTCATTTCACTTGTTGAAAAATTCAAACATATAATTGAATGCAAAAAAATCAATGTTACCACATGGCAAGAAAAAGAAAAAAATTTGGAAGATTATTGAAAAAGAGTTCAACAGTGCTAGTGAAAAAGCGTTCAGGCATTCAAAACACCTGAAAGAAAAATATTCTAATCTTAAAAAGAAAGCGAAAAGGAAATTTACTGACGAAAAATTGGAAATTAGAAAAACAGGTGGAGGAACATTCACTCCTATTCTTGTGACTGATGTGGATATAGCCATCAAAAATATTCTGGGAGATTAGATAGAGGGATTACATAATTCCTACGACGATGATGCAGTTCGTAAGTATAAAAATAGTGTATTTCAGCACCGCCACCTTATTGCTTCAGTGCAATGCAAATTTATATATTTTAATTATTATCGCCCGATTTATATTGAGCTACATTTGGTCTGACAACCAATTATACATTGTCGGATAGTCTCAACAAACGATCATACAGAATAGACCTTTAATTTGAACACATTTGAATCGACAGTCTTGATCATCTGGCCAAAAATCGCCCAGCGCAATATTAGTACAAGCATAGAATAATATACATAGACTAGAAGGCGAACTGCATGTGAAAAATCGGGCCCCTTCGATGGATCCAGGCTTTCTGTCGCGCGATTCCATTTGACCCCTGAGTACGAAAAACTAGACCGTGTTGCTAATTGCAGCACGTTGTCGTTGTGTTTCCATCTTTGTAATTTCATTTTTATTTTTATTTCTACTTAGATGAAAAAAATGTACAAGCTAATTACAATATTTTTCACTAGGTCCAATAATTTTTATATCGAAAAATGTCATAACTTTGTCAAAATTCAGTTTTCATTCTTTTTTACACATACCTCGCGATATCTCCAGAACTAATTGAGATAATTTCATTATTTTTTTTTATTCTGAAGAGATTATGTTAACGAAAATCGCTAAGATAACTTTGTTTTTCTGAAAAACTCGCTTTATTCGTTAAACTAGGTAAAACTTTAACTACACTTTTTATGCAATACTTTTTTCAGTAAGCGAGAAACTTTTTTGTTTTAAAAATTTCTGTCATACTATCAGCGAATGAAACAAAGCTAAAATATCAAGGAAGTTTTTGATTAAAACCGCGATACTCCGCGATTCATAGTTTTCAAGATATCGTCACTTAAAGTTGAGAGTTTTACCGGCTGTCCACTACTCCGGGTAGCTGCGCAGCGCGCGTCTTTCGACTAGTTTCGATTGCTTGTTTTTTGAGCCTGGGTGCATTTTCATGATATTTTTGAGCAAATTAAAATTAATAAAATCTGTAACTTTGGTTTTAAATATTAATGGCATAAATATTTGCTTTTCACTGATTATTCTCATCAACTTGGTTTTGGAAATTGGACACGTGTTGTAATTAACCACAAAAAAACAAGGGTTCGTTGTGTAAAATTTCCCAATAATTAGCAGAAAAATGCATAGGGTATTTTTTATAAACCCTATGTATGAAAAAAAATCTTCCAAATCATCATGCAAAATCACGTCGGGTTTGGGAGGGCAAATACGCAAACTTACGACAGTTTGGATATTCGCAATCACTCCAACATTTTAATCCTTGCAAATTTCTTTTTCCAAATTTCCTACTACAAATACCTAGATATCATGTATTGATTAAAAAATATGTAGTTCTACCATGTCCTAACTGTATAAATAGACTTTGGGGAGTTGCTGGTATTGTGCAGTAGACATAAATAAGCAATAGGTATTAGGACATCCGACAGATTTTACCAGAATTGTGTTAACTGATTTTAGTTCTGTTAGCACATAAGATCGTATGAATAAAAATGAGCATTTAGTTTCTACTTCAAATTTTGGGGTAAATACTCCACGTGGTATGAATAAAAACTTTGATAAAAACTACGAGCAGATATTTCGCTTGAGTAGGTACTCCTATGTATAATTTGGTATGAGTAGATTCTCACTTTTGGTATGAATAAAAAATTGTTTATGCTCTTCGGCAGGAGAATCTACTCCATAGTTTTAGAGTCTACTATGCAGTTGACTTAACTTTCTGCTTCAAGTTATTTCAGTACCGATTTTCCCTCGGTAGAAGGCAGAGCTATGGCAGAGTTCTTCAATTTTAACCTGCGTTTAAAAAAATTTCACAAAGCTAGAAAAAATACGTGTGATCGGGACTTTAAAACGTTGTACCGGTTTAGTAAAGAAAATGTGGAGTGGTTATCAAATCAATTTTATGCAACAAAGACAAGTTTGAAATATTTTTAAGATACGTGGGTGACGCGGGCTTTCAGGCAGGAGTAGGCGAGGATGTTGGTGTTCACCAAACTTCGGTGTCTTAAGTTGTATCGGAAGTAGCTGATAAGATAATTCAGCAAAGTGAACGGTGGATCAAATTTCCCCGCAGTCCTGCGAATATAATATGATCCATTCACAGTCCGATGTCCACAGGTACAGGTAAAATTTATCACCTTTCAATGCTATTTGATAGGGAAAGGTGATAAATTTACCTGTATCTGTGAACATCGGATTGTGAGGAAGAAAAAGCGGCAAAAGAGCGGTGGCAAGCAAAATAAAATGTTGAGTATCTACTCTATGTACTAGGTGTATGTACTTATCAAACCGAAATCTTTTTTATTCTTACGGAATGGAGTATAAGCTCAGACTTCATACTCATGCTCACGAGTATATACTCCGAGTTTAAACTCAGTTTTTATTCATATCACCCCAAGGCAATAATCTGGTATTAGCTTCTTTTTGAGTAGGTACTCTTTGATTTTTCCAAATGAAACAAAGTTCAGAATCCTGGAATCCACCTGTTATGACTGTTGATTCATTTACTAGTTTTTTTTTTATGGTCGGCATAAATGGCACACACACAAAAGGAAAGTCCTACATTACTTAACGAGCAGGGTGTTTGTGGAGGTGTCGTTGGACATTGGTTTTGAAACGCTGGAGGTTGTAGTTTTCGGGGAAGATGTGACTTTGAAGTGCATTCTAGAGCGAGGCGGCCCTCCAGAAAAATGAGTCTCGAAACAGTGATGTTCTGGGCATTCATAACTGAACTGTATGTTGTAGAGCTGTTTGTGCCTGACGAGTGTTTCTGTTTGGTGCAACTTTGGGCGAAATCAGAAGTGCTAGCTCGTTCGAACACCTTCCGTAGTAGTATCGATAATAAGTGATAGGTCCGCCACTTTTCACCGATGTTCAAGGCTTTGGAGGTCTTTGGTCAACTCCGGGTCATCGATAAGACGGACTGCTCCCTTTTGTATCGAGTCCAACGCCTTGAGCAAGTGTTTGCGGATCCCGATCTCCATATACGTATAGGAGCAGTATTCCAAGGATGGCCTTATCTGGGCGTTATAGAGCAGCAAAAGCTGAAATGAGATATCAACTTCCTTGATCTATAAAGTGTTCCTAGCTTTTGTGCTGCTGTCTACGCGATTTTGGTGATGTGGGTACGTCAATTAGACATGTTATTTTCCACGTTGATGCCCAATACGTTTATGGATGAGAACGATATCTTGAAAACTATGCATCGCGGAGTATCGCGGTTTTTTTCAAAAACTTCCTTGATGTCTTATGCTATTTGCACATACACCGATTTTGGACGGCCGGTAAAATATCGGCCGATATTGTATCGTTGGGGGCGCTGTACACACACGCCGGATTTTTACCGGCCGTAACGAGCAGTTTTGCCTGGTTGTCGTAGTCCAGTTGAAATGGATTCCTCAAAATCAGCTATAAGTTCGCAGCAAACTTGGTCCTGGTTCCATGCATTTCTTTTAGCATTTCTGTCCTCAAATGTGTCCAAACTTTTATCCCATAGAACTGGTCTTGCTTCCACTAGCGAAATAAGTATATCATTGTCTATAACTATCCCGTCATCCATTGCAAGCAATGCAAATGTAGATATCTACTTGGTATCTACCGAATTACCTATCATATATTATTGTAGTCCTATGCTGAAGTCTGCGCAGTGAATGAAAGAACGACGCTCTCGGCCGGTCAACAATGAAGAGTGTGCAAGCTCTGACTTGACTACATACGCCACTATATTTTCGGCACCGGCCCGGTGCCGGCGGTCGCAGTGGCCATGTCGGCTGCTCACCGGTTTTTTTCTGGTGCTGTTCTGTGTTCGGCTAGTGTGCAAGCTGCATGCCATCCCAATGGTTCACAGTTGAAATGTGGACGGCCGATATTTTACCGACCGTCCAAAACCGGTGTGTGTGCAAATAGCCTTAGCTTTGTTTCATTCACTGATAGTATGGCAGAAATCCTTAAGGGGATTGAATGCGCCTCAATGCCAAAATATTTTTTCCTGCGCGAAGTACCTAACACAGTCTATCATTCTATTCTCCCTCCCCTATTAATATTCCTTAGTGGGAATGAGATGAATGAAACAAGGAATGCATTGCGTTCTTAATTTCAACGTAACTTTTTAACAGTTGAAGTTATATAAAATTTCTTTTTTGCATTCGATTTATAATATGAGGACGAATGGCGCGGCGCTATCTTTTCAGAAATCCGGTAATAGAAACAAGTTCTCGAAAAATTACAAAAATGTAATTTAAACTGGAAAAAAACGAGAAAGTTAATCAATTTATGGTGTTTTTTTTTAATGCCAACCGGCCCAACAGTAGCCCAATGCAATGATCGCGACAAACCTCGCATCTTTATTAGTAAAAACTTGTTGGGTGGTTGTATAGTTCGAAGTGCGTTACAATATATTTTAAACGGCGCATTCAATCCCCTTAAAACAAAAAAATTTCTCGCTTACTGAAAAAAGTACTGTATAAAAAGTGTAAGTTGAAGTTTTACCTTGTTTTACGAATAAAGGGAGTTTTTCAGAAAAACAAAATTATCTTTACTGATTTTCGTTAACATAATCTCTTCAGAATTAAAAAAAATTATAATACAGGGTAATTAGCCTTTTTAAACTAAAAACATAATATAAAGCTAAAAATTTGTTTGAAGGTACATTATAATAAGTAAATAAAATTTAATAGACTTGCACCTTGTGCTTGATAGTGGAAAGCCGCCAGTGGACTCTATCTTGGAAATAATAATTAAAAAAATTAGTTTCGCTACTTTTTTTTAATGTTAAAGTCAATCACAAAACTAATCAAATAAATGTCCAAAAATGATAGGAAGGAACCATGCTTCACGTCATTATTCACCATTATATTTTCTACACATGGCGGTACAGTCCCCGTCGGCGACAGTCACATCTTTGGGCACAAATTACAAAATACCAACTTCAATAAATTTTCGGGGCT